TCTACCATTACTCATTCTGTTTCACTCTTATACTTATCTAAATTCTATTGATTCTCTTCTCTCATTTTCTTGTCTACCTTTGTGTGCTATTTGGAACGTGGCAACTCGAACTGCTGCACTTCGGTGCCAAGTTCTATGTTGAATCCAGCAGCAGCAGCTCAGGAAACTCTCTTTGCACAGAGAGTTCTAGTTTAAACTTAGTGAATATAGGCATAGAATGGTAAAAGAGTTACGTAACGAAAACGAGAGATGCGTAAGATGCAGAGTGACTAATAAATAAGCTAACAACGTACTGAGTTCAACTCAAATCACAGAAACAAGAGACGAGCAAAAATTACACTTTATCGAAGGGGATGAGGTTAGATGCAAGGATTACATAACCAAATGGAAGAGAGACTAAAGACATCCAGATGGGCAAGGAAAGATTGATAACTGTTTCTTTCTGAACACATAAATTGGCTATTTGATAGTTGGAGGCAATCGGCCACAGGAAGCCTTGCTTGACCTAGGTTTCGTGCTAGTTGGCACTCACCAGTCAGCAAGGCGTATCTGCATCCTTGAAGGAACTCTTGTCCCTTCTGAGATTCCAACCCACGTCACTCAGTGAACCCTGCAGTCAGAGACGTTACCACTGAGCTATTCAGGCTCGCGATTGACCTCCTGTAGGACTGCAGTGTAGTGGGTATTCTCATTGGACACTAGTACCTAGTGTCTAGTCCTTTGTTTGGTGCAGACTGAATTCTATCAGTCATGTATTTGCAATGTAAATGCTCCCGCGGTTACGCGTAAGTTTGTGTATACAGTTAAAGTTAACCTGAGAAGAGTATCTATAGACTTTTGATTGCACCAAGTAGCGTGTTGTCCGATATACGGGAACCAAATTAGCTAGCTAAAGGATACGCTCTGGCTAGTGACGTACTTAATCTTCTGTTGACTATTGCTGCAATGTTTTCACCTTTAAAATCAAGTTTTAAATGAAGACAGGCTTCTTTTCAACTGTGATTTGTTTGATTTTTGAGTCTTCACATCTTCCATATCTATTGATGAACCTCTGAGGGTAACTGTTGTTTTTCAACACCTTTTTGAGAATCGTAAATTCTTCCTCTAGTTTCTCTGCAGAGCACATTCTCCTCGCTGTATAGTACACAGTCTTGACTAGTCTGCGTTTAAAGCTATTTGAACAAAATCTATTAAAATGTAAGTATTGTCCGTTCCATGTCAGCTTTCGGTAAACTGACCTCTGGAGACTACCATCTTCTAGGCGTTTCATGGCAGTGTCAAGGAAATGGAACTTTCCATCATTTTCATGTTCCATAGTAAATTCAATATTTGTATCTGCGTTGTTGAATAATCCCCAATAGGTAGGGAGCATAACTTTCATTTGAAAACACCAAGGAATGTTGGACATCTGTTTCGTCCTAGTCTGTGAATGATTCTTCACTAGAACACACGTATGATCCAACCGCCAGGTATAGAACACAAGACCTTTAAGGCTACATAACAAGACCGCGGCTTATTTACCCCCTGAGGTACAATCCAGTGGCCTGCTAATTCACGTCACCACAAGTCAATGTTGTTTGTTCTCACACCTGACCTGCTGAACCTAATTAGAGGTCACTAATGCTCAATAATAAAGCAATTCATTCTTTTGGAAGTGAAACAAGTATCTACGATATCGCAAATAAATTTGATCATGTCCAATTCATGAGGTTTTTGATGTAGTTGTTTTCTCTGAGCTAGCTGGATGGTCTGTTCGCGAAGCTTTCATCGCCCCAACACTAGACAACATCTTCAGCGCATACTTCAATCTGCTGAAGTGAACTTTTTGATTTCTTCACGAGTTTATTAGTCATCTCTCCTGGTGACATTGAACGTGATCGGTTTTCCGTGGTTAGCTTGAGCCACGTAGGGAGGTATAAACTGTCTGGTTGAAGTCTTTAAGATCCTGAAGTTTAAAACTGTTGGTGAAATGAATAGAAATAGTTCTAAATGAGGATGATACATTCATACCAAAGGATATTTCGGACATTTGTAGCAATTTGAACACTGAGGAACTTTCATACACAAAGTTGTAATTTGAAAATTCCCTTCATTTTCACAAAGTAAAATGGGTGACGATATACTAAAGTATTAAATAAACGCGACTATTTACATGTCCTCACCCCCTGAGTAGTTAACGAACATTATTTGAAGGAAGATCGAAAGAGAAACAAAGAGGACAAATGCTGATTCTGAATAAGAACTAAGCCTGGCAAAGTTCAGTCAATCCGACTTACCCTTGTTGTTTGTCGCTACTTTCCATATCTCCGGGTATAGACGATCTGGCGTCATTCCAATTGACTGCACGTATGCGGTGTTGAATCGATAAACACAGCTTCAGTGATTAGCCTCTCTCTGTCTTCACCTAACTATATTGCTTTTTATTACTGTCACTCTGTCCCACCCAATCGTTGTGTGATTAGATACAAGTGAATGCAGTGCAGCGGCTGAGCTCTGCCTTTTGTTCTAGGTTATTTAACTTAGCAGGGTCGATCATCATTCTAGGTCTAGCTAAATTTTTATATTCCAATAATCTAGTTGACGCCGACCTACTTGTTCGACCCTTGTGTTTGACCTCACAGTCATTAATTATGTGGTATTGGTAAGTAATATTATTTTTCTTAAACTGGATCTATTGGGCAAGTCCTTAAGCCAACAAAGTTTATCTCTCAGAGATTTAGTTAGTTGGTTGGTTTAAATGCCACCCTGACTAATTTTCAGCTCAATTGAGAATCCTACGTAAGGCTTCTGAAGTCCCTTCTTTCTATGGCAGTACTGCACAAGCTTTGAATTCGATATTATTTTCGTTATTTTCGTCAATTTTTATTACTAATCTTAGTTTTCCAATGGTTTTTCATATATTTTTGAATACATTCTGATGGGTAGTGTGTTATTCACTGGTAATATTTCCTTTATTTGTTTGATTTCATTATTTAGATCTTCTAGCCTATACTAGTTAGGCTCCTGGCCCGTTTACATAGACATCTAACTAAACCACTCTCTTTACCGATTCTGGATGGGATGAATTAAAGTCTAAGTATATTTATTAGAGCGTATCTGTTTCATTTCATTCTACAGTCTAGCATGGCCAATTCACCCTTAAGGAGTGAGAACTTACCAACGACCGTGGATTGAGAAGTTGCACCGAAACGTAAATTTACTCCCCGAACTCAACACTAATTCTACCCTTTATTTATGCCTTACCTAACCCCAACGTAATTAGATCAACCTGAAGTTAACCTGTTACTAGCCTGATCCCGACTTCACTTCTGCTTTCGACTCTGTACCTAGATGTCTCTTGCTAAATAAGCTCTCTTTGACAAAAACTGAGTCCTGGGTCACTAACTGGCTGCATTCCTACTTCTCTAACAGAAAGCAGTACACCGTATATAAAGGCGAATCCTCCTCTGCTGCGCTCACTGAAGATGGTGTCCCCCAAGGTGATGTACTCTCCCCACTTCTCTTTTCTTTATTTCTACATGACTTACCATCTTCAAATGACATTAATTTTGTCAAATATGCTGACGACCTGACAGTATCTTTGCCTGTCAAATGTCAAAGCGACTGCTCTAAACTAAATGGCTTTATGTCAGAAATCAGCCAGTGGTCCAAGGAAAACGGTCTTACCCTAAACCCCTCCAAATGCCAAACAGTAAATTTCACCTTTAGGCATAAATCCAACCTAAACAAACTGGTTGTTTCTCACGAGGTATGCAACATAGACCACACTGAAATAGAAACCAAGTCGGAAATTAAATACCTAGGCGTCATTCTATCTGCTGATCTTTCCTGGTCATCTCATATCTTGGCGATTTCTAAGAAAATATTCCGTCTTACCTTCTACATCAAGAAGTTAAGACATTCTGGTATAACCCAACCCTTACTCCTACAATTCGTTAACTCTCGCATTCTGCCTATTATTCTCTATTGTTCCCCCTTAGTTTTTCCCCCCTGCTACTGAAGAAAGACTATAACATATTACGCAGGATGTTAAAGGTTGTCAGCAGGGTAAGCAACGTGTCACTTAACCAGCTTGTTAATATTCTGGTCGACAGGCACATGGACTCATATGAAAAATGGGCCAAGTCCATTTTATCTAACTCACACCACCCTCTTCACTCACAACTCGCCCCTCCCCTTGCATCTCATCAGGCAAAACCAGAAGCCTATATAGAAAACTATATGCTCTCACTAGCAAGTACAAAAACTCAACCATACCCTACTTAGCTCGTGTTCTGTGCGATAAAGAAAGCATTAGGCGTGACACCTATAATTCATTAAATAGTCAGTAGAACTACTGGACCTCGTCTTTCCAACTCATATCATCTATAGGTACAACATTTTCTTTCTTTCTTTTCCTTTTCTCTCTCTCTTTTCCTTTTCCCGTTATGTTTTGCTTTGTTTCTTTCTTCCGCTTACGCCAGTAAATATGACAGCTCCTACTTTTCTAGCACCTTTAAACACTGTTCAATTTTGGTTTTGCTACCGACATGCCAATATGTTTGTTGTCATAATGAACTGAGATTACCCTTAATCTATGTGGAATTTTATTTATTGTTAATTTTCTAACTGGATGCAATACTGTAGTAAAAATGCTGAGGATTCCATTCTGTATCACAAGTACTGTTTTGGAATAAAGCAAATTATTAGTATTGTTATTAACCTTTACCTCCCTCCGATCTGTCCTTAAACTAATGAGATATCCCGTTTAGTATCACTACCCTTCACTCAATGTCTTCTTTCGCGAATACAGTGTTATTTATATAGTTTCACTGCCTTGCTCTGACCGACTGTTCTCCATGGTCACTGGTATGTTTTCGTCTATTGCGTGTCAAATGTTTGTCTTCGCCTTAAAACCATTATAAGAAAGCATTAATTCACCCTCCAGTGAAATTTATCTCAAACAAAACATGGTGTTAACCTCGGAGAAATGTTGATGTTCTTTTTTAATTGTCCGTTGCTTACAAAAAAAATTCAAAATTTAAATTTTGAATGTTTGATTTGATGATTTCATAACAAACGGTAATGATAACTGATGAGATGAAAGCGGACAATGTGAGAACAGTAAAAAATGCATCAGAACTTACAGAAAATCGATTTAAGCCTCCAAGTGTATTCAGATCAGTTTGATCTGAAATACCACCATGACATACAAAAATTTTATCGTCAATTAGCGTAGCCACCGGTAGATAACGATAAAATTCAGAGAAACATCTCACCAGCATACCACCGATTGACTGAGTACAATTCATGTTTGTTTGTTTTGTTTTTTAAATACAAAAGAATAAAAGAACAAAACAATGAAGAACAATCAAATCCAATCGAAGTATCATTTAACACACTTAAACGACAATTATTCATTTCGAAATTTTCATAAATCAGTAAACTGACATTAGCTACAGAATCACTAAAGACTAAGTAGCACTTGGCAGATGTTTTGTCCTAATTTGAGACTCTTCAGTAGTACACACAAAAATGGTGCCACCACTAGACATTTAACTATTTAGACACTGGAACAGCTTCTAAAGGTGGCCAATAAAATATAACTTCTTAAAAGTTTGCCATATATGGCGCCACCATTTTAGTTAATGTCATCGGTATCCATTTCTTCCTACATTCGATGTTGCAGACTGTACTGATCACAAATTCTTACCAGAATACCAGGTAATTTCACTCTGTAATCATTGATTTTTAAGTATTGATTTGCAATGATTTGATTGATTTCCAATAAGATCAAAAAATGATGATTCAAAAGAGAGAATTTCTCTCTTCACGACAGCTTCATCGTCAAAATGTCTAAAATTCTTGTAGTTATAACTTTTGATAATTTTAAAATAAGCGGAATAGATGAAGCACTCTCGTGTGTGTGTGTGTGTTTGTGTTTGTTAAGAGTTAATCAAAAGGATCTTTATGAGAAAGATTAACATCGATTGGCAGGCTGAAGAAGACCAGATAGTTCGATGAATAAACTCTCCCTGTAAGCGCAATATCGCTTGAAATTAAGTCACGCGTAGATAAAGGCTATTTCGGTCCAGAACAAACAAGAAGCCGGTCACTGTTTCTACGGTACTTAGCGGTTTCAAGAGTACAAAACACAACGCTTAACAGAAAGCAAAGTACAGCTATCAGAGCGAAATAACGTTAAGCCAAAATCACGAACTAGCCGGATCAGACACGACCGTTCAGGTAAGCAGTCAGTAGAAGAATGAACCCAAGTAAGAGATAGACAGAGCATAGGCACAAAGATAGAATTTAATTGGCTACTTAACCAATCAATAAATAAGATAAACTCAACAGAATAGTACAAAGTAAGACATGGGTCAGCAAAATAACAGTTCACAAAAATACTCTGATTGGGTCATGAGTTCAACTGTCTGTCTAAACGGATCGAAGTAAAAAGACACACACACGGTTCATTAAACAAGGTGGGATAGACACGTTAGGCATGGATAATTGTGTTGTAACAATGTTAGGCTGATCCGGGACAGGTTGACTTGATTTAAGGATGGGAACTGAATCGATCTTACACTCCCTCTCTAGCGATTTCATCCGTTAATGAAGGCGAATGGTTGTGACTGCATAGAAATTTCAATGGTGACGAACAGAACAGTGTATCAGATATATTTTAGCGCATGTCTCAAATACAAACGGCTGAAACAGGGAGTCATTGGTCTTCATTTACGTAAAGAATCGGTCAATAACACACTGATTTGTATATTGAACGGTCATTAGAGAATAACCGCCGTCATTTATCTAATCCATGAAATTGTTGGTGCCACAAAGCCAGCCAGCATTGAAGAATCCTTCTCTATCATCTACCGGGTGCTAAATAAATTGCCGAAAGCATCCACGTACCAACCTCATGCTCCAAACAGTAGAGGCTAATGCAATTCACCTCAAACAACCAGTGCTCTGTGTGCAAAAGAAACAAGTCCAGCCAGCCACTACTACTGCCTTAGCCGGGCTTCAGTCGAGACTATAAATTCATGAATTTGTACCATTACCTTTCCTAATTTTTCTGAGATTCAGTTTATTGTTATGTTGATGCTGTTGAACTGTATTATTATTATTGTTCCCTTGAGTTCCTAGTGGAACATAGGGCTTCAACTACACTTCTCCACTTGCTTCTGTCTTCTGCTGTACTTTTCACCTGAATCCATGTTAGTCCATACTGTTTCAACTCCTCTTCACACGATCTCCTCCATGTCACCCTAGCAATGATATCCCACTCGCCGCTTCCCTCTCGGGTTCCACTCGAGCGATGGCCTGACGCGCGATGTCACCCAGCGGCCTCCTCAGCGAGTGTCCAATCCATCTCCACTTTCTCCTGCATATTTGTTGGGCGATTGGTTCTTGTTTTGTTTTCTCCCATAGTTTCTTGTTGGTTCTTGTTCTTTCCGGCCATCTGATCTTCAGTATAGAGCCAGCGAAGACAGTTGTTGATAAAGGTCTGCAACAGGCTGTTGGAAATATTCGTTGTGACCCGCTGCTAAGTTTCTGATTCATCCGTATAGAAGAACTGACTGATTTGACGTTTGTAATGATAATCCGAGTTTTGTTGTTGATGCTGAGTGACGAAGATTTCCAGATTGGTTTCAGGTTGATGATGAATGTGTTTCTCGCCTTCCCGATTCTCGATTTGACATCCTCGTCTGTTCCTCGTGTAGTTGAGACAATGCTCCCTAGATAAGTGAATGAAGTAACCCCTTTCAAATCCCTCCCGTTGATGGTGATTGGCTCTGGATGTTGCTGCTGCTGTTGTTGTTGTTGGTTGGTTATTTTCATAACCTCCGTCTTGTCTATGTTCACCTGGAGTCCTGTCTTCTCTGGCTGCTTCTTCGAGCAGTTTGTCGGTTTTCGCTTGTAAGTCTTCGATTTTGTGTGACATCAGACATAAGTCATCCACGCGCGAAATCCAGGTCTTCTTATAGCCATAGTGTTAAATAGATGTCTGAAATATTATTTCCTTTGTATTCTTATTGCTACTTCTGTTTCCTCTTCTTAGAGACAACGTTCTTTAAATGCGCTCTCTATTTCACACATAGAATCCATTCATCTTTTTTATATTATATGTTTCTTTTCACAATATCTGGCTTTCAAACAACCTAATCATCATATTATTGTTGGTATTTATTCGTTGCTTTCCAAGTTAGGCATAGGGCTTCAGCATCGCATCTCCATGACAATCAAAAGTTGTCAGAACTCAGCTATATGCGACAGCCTTTTATCATGTACCAGGTTATGAGCCAACCTCATAGTGTCAGGGCTTGTAATACTAGTCAGTAACCCAGATAGCTACAGAAAATCGACTTAGGACTCTGCAAGAACTGGCGAGGAATCATCCTCCTGTCGACGCCAAGTAAAATCCTGAGTCGCATCATCCTGGAGAGAATAAAGGACGCACTGGATGCCGGATTCCGACCAGAACAAGCTAGATTCAAGAAAGGCAAATCATGTTCTGACTAAATTGCAACACTACGCATCATCATCGAACAAAGCATGAAATGGCAATCAAACCTCTACCTCAATTTTATAGACTTTGAGAAGGCCTTCGACAGCGTTAACCGCGAAGTAGTTTGGAAACTACTCGAGTACTACGGCGTATCCCAAATATTCATCAACATTATTCAACAGTTGTACGACAACCACACATGTCAAGTGATCCACAACGGAAAACTCAGCGAGGCCTTTGGAGTAAACACAGGAGTCAGACAAGGGTGCTTATTATCACCAATGATATTCCTAATTTTGGTGGACTGGATTATGCGTCAGACAGTGGGAAACGAGAAGACAGGGATATCCTGGACCGACGTGAACAACCTAGAAGACCTGGATTTCGCGCGTGGATGACTTATGTCTGATGTCACACAAAATCGAAGACTTACAAGCGAAAACCGACAAACTGGTCGAAGAGGCTGGCAGCAAAGACAGGACTCCAGGTGAACATAGAAAAGACGGAGGTTATGAAAATAACCAACCAACAACAACAACAGCAGCAGCAACATCCAGAGCCAATCACCATCAACGGGACAGATTTGAAAGGGGTTACCTCATTCACTTATCTAGGGAGCATTGTCCCGACTACACGAGGAACGGACGAGGATGTCAAATCGAGAATCGGGAAGGCGAGAAACACATTCATCATCAACCTGAAACCAATCTGGAAATCTTCGTCACTCAGCCTGCATCAACAACAAAATGATTCGGATTTTCAATACAAACGTCAAATCAGTCAGTTCTTCTATACGTATGGATCAGAAACTTGGCCAGTGTGTCACAAAGAATGTTCCCAACAGCCTGTTGCAGACATTTATCAACAACTGTCTTCGTTCTACACTCAAGATCAGATGGCCGGAAAGAACAAGAACCAGCAAGAAACTATGGGAACAAACAAAACAAGAACCAATCGCCCAACAAATATGCAGGAGAAAGTGGAGATGGATTGAACACTCTCTGAGGAGGCCGTTGGGTGACATCGCGCGTCAGGCCATCGCTCGAGTGGAACCCGAGAGGGAAGCGGCGAGTGGGATATCATTGCTAGGGTGACATGGAGGAGATCGTGTGAAGAGGAGTTGAAACAGTATGGACTAACATGGATTCAGGTGAAAAGTACAGCAGAGGACAGAAGCAAGTGGAGACGTGCAGCTGAAGCCCTATATACCACTAGGAACCCAAGGGAACAATAATAATAATAACCCAGGTAGCTGGGATAGGATTGTAATCCTGGACTCATCAGCTTAGATTTGAGTATTTAAGATTATCAATCACTTCTTCATCACTTCACTCGGTTTTCTAGAGTCATTCTCAGCCCTATCTGTCGGTCTGTCTGTCTGTAACTGCTCACATTCTTTCATTCCTGGTGAATACCATCTGTTTCATATTATTCACGAATGCTTGCTCTGTCGATTTCCATTCTGGTTCCACTCAACAGTTTGCCTGGTGTGGGTGATGTCACTTGAAGGTTTTCTCACATCCACTATATCCACTACATCTCCCTTTCTTTCTGCATACATATTGATAAATATGTTTTCGATAGGTTGGTTGGTTTGCTGCCAGATTTCACTCACATCAGATTATACAACCTTTTTTTTCCTTCACGTTCCCCAGTGGAACATAGGGCTTCAAGCTAGAGCCCACCTGAAGTTTCTGTAGCAGTGTTTATTTTACAGGATGGGGTTGTTAGCCTCATGCCCAACCTTTCCTCTTCACCAGCATTATTTCTGGCTTAGCGAGGTAAAGGAGTGCGTCGATG